TGTGAATTCGTGAACTATAACTACAACCAAGCATAAACCAAAGAGTATATCAAACGTCCATCCATGTTTGTAACTTTCTTTAACCGTCATGCAATTAAAAACCAAATCCTCATCATTGTGTTGGAAGGTAACCTACGACACAAACACACAAAAACAACTCTTTTTGGGTTTTTCAAAACAATTTTTCAAATTTTTATGGGATTTTCGAATTTTTAAGTCAAAACACACTAAAATAGTTTAAAAACATTTTAAAACAGCAAGGAACAACACTTGAAGTTATGGGTGATAAAATCCAACAAATTTTGCATCAACATACTTAGTTACCCCCCCACACTTAAATCAAACATTGTCCTCAATGTTTTAAGCTTAAAACACACCAAACAAAAGAAAACATATAAAACAGCAACTAAACATACTAAACATGGCAGAATGTATCTAACAAAGAGAAGAGTTTTAGAGATGCAAATCTGGTTATGGAGTGTAAATTCCATCTTCTCCTTGGTGATTGCAGTGAGGCTTCATCTTGAGTGATTCCACAGGCTTACTCTTGAAATGCGCTGCTCCCATCGTTGATTTTCCTTTGTGCTACTCTTGAACTGGGTAGCAGGCTTCCTTTGGTCTCCCCCGAAGGTCTGAGCTTCCTCCTTTTATCTGTTTCTTTGTTCAATCTCTCCAATTCGTATTGAAGAGGGTTAGAGGATAGCTCAGCAAAGCTAGGTAAGCAACCAGGGAATAGAGTCCAGATAGACTCCAAGTGCCGGCTGATTGCTTCTTTCACTTTGCCATGCAAGTAATATCAAGGACAAAGGAAAAGACAGGGAAAGAGCATGATATGAGATACCTTTGCTTTTGCCCTTGATGATATGAGATACCTTTGCTTTTGAAGAAGCGGTGAATGAATCAGCACATGTATTTGTGGTGCTGTTTCCTCCTGGGTCATCTGTACTCCAGGCATCTGGTATCATCTTTGGGGAAGAAGAAAGAATGGAGTATTTTGAAAGGCTTTGCTGGGAGTGCGCCCTCAGAGGTGAGAAAGAGTTGGGCATTTTCTTCAGTTCTGCTTTGCCAAAAAATGAAGGTCGACATATATAGGGAATTCAATAGCAAGTGGTGATACTGTTCTTTTACCGTTGTCGACAAACATTTTGATCCCGCAAATCCGGCTTTTTGGAATAGTGACGACTCTTCGATCTTTGAAGACGCCTCTTCGATAAAGCTGCACGCGTTTTCTGAAAAGCAGATAAAGCGTCGCCGAACTTTGCGCTTGTCGGCTAAAGACGTGTAGTTGCGATGATAGCCTCCACGTGTTGAACGCGATTTCTGAAAAGCCGAGGCTTTTTGAATTGGTGCACGCGTTGCCTTGGCTTTTTATAGAGCTATCGATCACCGCCAACTTACACACTCTGAAGATTTTTCATTCTTGAAACTCATCTCCGGCCCTTTTGAAAATCTACTCCGTCCACCCCTTCTCTTTTAACTTTGTGAACAATGGCTAGCTCATCCAACCCATCGAACCTTTGCTTAGATTTGAGTCTAAGCAGTGATCCGGTCGCGTCTCGTCAGGGTAAGGTATGGTGCCCGTCTTTCTTATCTTCCCATGGCCCTCTTACAGATGAGGACTCTGTGATGACGGATCCCACAACGGCTACGATAGTGGCTCGGAACCTCCTCACTCCCAAAGACAGTCAGCTGCTTTCAGGACGGTCCGATGAGTTGGCCGTTCAAGAATCCCTGGCTCTGAGTGTTCAGTGCACTGGCTCTGTGTCCAACATGGGCCAACGCCTTCTTGCTCGCTCCCGACAAGTTGAATCCTTGATGGCGGAGGTGGAGAGTCTTAAGCAGGAGATTAAACAGCTTAAGTACGAGAACCGAAGTTTGCACGTGCTTGCCAACAATTATTCAACAGGCATGAAGAGGAAGCTTGATGAGCTTGATGACCGTCAACGGTTTGCAGCTTTCTTCCAGAGGCACCTCTTTCCTGGGTCATCCAGCGTTCCACCAAGGTTTGGGGCCTTGAATGATCTATCTTCGGTGCCTCCTGCTCCGATGCCTTCCGCTCCAATACCTCCTGTTCCGATACCTCCTGCTCCGATACCTCCTGTTCCGAGAGTGTTGCCACGTAGTGGGGCCTCAAGTACACAACCTTTGTGAAGACTCCATCTTTCTGCCATGTTTTTTTTTTTTTTTTTTTTTTTTTTTTTTTAATCACTCGAAAATCAATAAACAAGCTTTATTCACTGTATTGGGTTGCCTCCCAAGTAGCGCTTTCTTTTACGTCTTGCAGCCGGACGAAGAACCCAATCACTCCAGGATATGTTCACGAATCGGATGAGAACTCCGAGTCATGAACTAGTACCTAAAACAAGAAACAAAACAAATTTAAGAATCTGGAAAAATAAAAACAAACGAAAATAAAACAATCCAAGGGATTAGCAAAGTTGCTAATCCCCGGCAACGGCACCAAAATTTGATGCGAACTAAGTAAGCACACAAATTAAACCCTCTTTTTGTCAATTGTAGTATAAGTATAAGTAGGGATCGTTCTAAACCGGGGATTAGGAGGGATTACTAAATCACTTGGAAACTGACTCAAAAATGTAAAACAAACATTAAAACACTAAAACAAATCAAAAGACTCAAAGAATACAAAACACTTATAAACACAAACTAAGACACTTTCTAACTAAATTGGACACTAAAGTAAAGGGGGATTGAGATTTTGACGAAAATAAATTAAATGCACAAATTGTAATTTAAAGGTAGAATTTAAATATGAATGTGATGAAATATGGAATGAATGCTAGCTAAGGGGTTCTTCTCCACACATGTTATACTTGCATACAAGATTGATTCTCAGTTGGTCTTTCGATAAATTATGAAACTCAACACTCCGGATTAATTAGGTCCGCTTAAATTAACCGTCAAGTTTTCCTTAAGTTAATGAATTGGATGGGTTTGCGCAACGCAATTCACAACATTCTCCAAAAGTCCTTTACGTGAACAGCACAATAAAGATACAATCAAAGATCATTAAGTATTATGAAAACTATAAGTGTTGACGAGGCATTCGTTACTATGATGAGCATGAAACTCGTGCCAAGAATTCATTTAACGCGATTGTTTATAAGCAACCTCCACTACTTGTGAATATAAGTTCATAACGATTAGGTGAAAATCACTTATATTCTAGCGTCATATTTATGCATGAAAATTAAGCGCGCATTCTTAATAAACATTCATAAATAAGTTATCAACAAATTGAATCCACAACTTATGAAATTCCAACGAAAGTTAATCAATTCATATTGCAAATATAAACATAGTTTCGAATCACCCCCTAGCTAAAGGGGGATTAGTTCCTCATACCTTTGAAATCAAAGAAACACCTAAACATTCCAACAACTCAAACTTGAATTGTATGAACGTTTAGGCACTCTTCTCTTCCTCGTTGTTGTAGCACAAGGTTTAAGGATAGGTTGGTTGGGGGGATGGAAGTGTGGAATGGAGTGGAAATGGAGAAGATGGAGAAGGGGAAGTGTTTGTGTATTACAATGGAAAATGAGATCCTTTGGTAAATGGAATGAATGGGTATTTATAGGAAGAGAATGGGTGTTAATGGATGTTTGTTTAAGGTATTTGGTGGAAGGGAAAAGGTGTGGATGGTGGGAATTATGGTGGATGGATGGTTTAGTGGATGTAATTTAGGGTTTATTTAGGTGAATGTGGATGCATGGTTTAGTGGATGTAAAGGATAATGGGATGGTGTGGAATTAAAAGCTAAAAAAAATGGGATAATGGGCATTTAAGTGTGAATGGAATGGTGGGATGCACTAATGGAAATTATGGAATGGAATGGTGGGATGCACTAATTAGGAGGAAGAATTAGGGTGAAGGGCTTAATGCATGGATTTGGGCCAATTAGGGTGAAGGGCTTAATGCATGGATTTGGGCCTAAAATGCCCCCCCTTGCATGGCAAGGGAAAGGACTTGGGCTAAAGCCCACGACAATGGCTCTAAAATGGGCTAAGGTTAGGGTTTAGGTGCGGCATAGGCTTAGGGTCCACAAAGAGTTAGGGTTTAGGTCATCTAAAAGCCCAAAGCCAAGAATAGAAACTCACGACAATGGAAACCTCCAAGAATAGAAACTTCCAACTTTAGAAACTTTGGTTACCAATTCCGACTTCCTTGCTCTTCACTTTCATTTCTTCATTTCTTAAGCTCCTTTGACCTTCAACCTCGTTCATTCCTCGTGCTCCATTTGCATACACCACATTCCAGCTCAGTTTTGCTCCAAAAGCTCCCAATTGCATCATTTCATGTAATATGTCCTTTAAACCTGAAAACACATGAAAGTAGCTTAAAAGACTACTTTAAGGAAGAAAACATAACAAAAATGCATAAGAACTAGCTAACTAAGGCGCATAAATATGCTCCTATCAGAGAGCCTAGAGAAGTGGGGAAGGGAAAGAGAAGAAAATGGGAAGGTGTTTAGTCACAAAGGGTTTTTAGTACTTCCATGCCAAACTTTTGGCTCAATAGGATTCTCTCCCTTCCCATTCTCCACTCCTTTAGTCCCCTCATCTTTCTTTTTCCTCTTTTACATTCTCTCTCCAGCAAAGATAATAGAAAATATTAATGTGACTTAATCGTTTCTTATGGTCCCCCTTCCCATTCTCCTCTCATCTGGTCCCCTCCTCTCTTTTTCCTCTTTTACATTCTCTCTACAGCAAAGACAATGGAAATTATTAACTTGACTTGATCATGAACAATCAAATATGAAGGGATTGGATGGGAGGGAAAATGGAAGAGAATCTGGATCCTGTTGGCTAAAATTCTATGCGGGGATTTTAGTTATTTTTCCAAATTGTAAAGAAGGTTAAAGTTCATACAAATATCTCTCAAAAATGATGATACAAATGTTTAATGCCACTTTTGCATTGGTCTCAAGGTTGTTAAATGGTCATTTACAAAGAACATCAAGCTGTTATTTCAACCATAGATAGTAAGAAAAGCAATTGAATTAAATTACATTGATGAGTCAGATCAAATTACAAGCTATAAGCCGGAGAAGGATCCGTCCGACTCTCTACAAGGATTGAAACTAAAATCTCGTGTGGTGAGAGAATGAATGAATGAAGACGTCGCTTCTAAAACTATGGCTATTTGACAATTCCACAACACACCGCTCAAAATTTGAATGGAAAGCCGAAAAAAATCGCAGCAAAACATTTCTGCTTGGTTTTCTATGCACGAGAGCTACTTCACAGTCATGCCAAAGCACTTTTAGAGTCCCAAGCATACCTCTGGCTTTCAAGCTGGAAAAAAAAAACATGATGAAATTGAGGTACCATTTCACACTCAAGTCATGAGATGCAACCAAGAACTCGATGTCGGAAGCATATTCCATTACTTGAAGTAGTCTTGCCGAAGAATAGTGATGAAATTAGGGGCCGTGCCATCCTCATCCTTCTGCTTCCATTCCCCATTGCTTTGTATGTACCATGATACTTTCGGAGATAATGGTGTGTACAAATCTGCATGTTTCAGATTCAAGAAAAATGTAAACATTTTTTTTTGAAAAATGCACACCATTGAAGGCAGTAGTATTACTGCCCAAGGAATTTAAGGATGCAAAATTTCAACTCAAACATGCAGAATTCATCCAGGAATCATATTCACGCATGATGGTGCACAACACTGCGTATTGTACTTTAAAGATGTGCATAACGATCACAACCGCTTCACCATCAAAATCAGTCATTGATGTTCTCAAATATGGTGTTTATAACACAACGGGTCATCAAAATAAATTTTTCTATTTCAGAAACATGTTACTCTGGTAAACCACCAAACTTTGGCCTTCCCCTTTGAACATTTACCCAACTAAAGAACGAAATAGAAGCCAACAGCACAAGAACAAGACTAAATAACAACAGCATGCCGATTGGAATAAATAGCATGGCAGGACAACCCAAAATCTAAAGAAACTGAAGCACACAGGGATGCCAATCCTGAAAACATAAGGAAGTCTCAACTCTGAAATACTGGGGAAAACTAATCCAGACCCCCAGTATGGATCTTATTAAGTACTTGTCCCATATTGGTTGGGCTAAGCTTCAGCTTTTATGTTGAAAACGTCAAAAGATCTTATAACTATTTGGTTCCAAATTTCAACACTTGTACTCAGACAATACAGGGGGAAAACTATTGGAGGTAATTGTCAACAAACAGTACTGCACTAAGCTTCTAAATTACAGGTCAGTCTCCATTTAACACCTAAGAATCTTCAAAATGACATGCAATCAGACATCCAAGATACAAACCTGTAATTAAAGGTGGATCTGGCTCTCTTGTACTATGCAATATAGCAGTCCCAGATAACACAGTGATGAAACCGCAAAATTCTGATGCTATGCTGCTCACACTTTGACCCGAATAATCCTAACAAAAGGGTATGCATTTTAGATTTATAACATAACGGTTAGTCTCTCTCTCTTGCTCACACACAAAAACACATCATGAGGACGTGATGATACCTTAAACATTATTGCACTGGCAAATATTGTAAAAGATGTGAACATTGCATAATATATCGGAGAAACAATTGCTGTGTTGAAAGTATCCAACGCCTGCAACCACACCAGAGTTAGACAACCAGCTAAAAAGTTCACATTTCTGACCAAAACAGAAAAGATTAATAAGTGGTTTATACAGGTGATGAATGCAGCACTTCATACATTCGCATGCTTACGCAAAAACAAAATATTCGATAAACTTCATATATAGTTGGATGGGGTACAGATTTGCTTTAATTACCAATACAATGCAGAATAATTTCTGCTCGAATTACTTTTCTTTTATGAGAATGTGAAACCAAGATTATATTAATTCCTATGTAAAAGTTCCATGCAGAGAACGAGATTTACACTGTACACAGCCAAAATTCTAGCCCTCTTCTGGCGAATAACATCATCTCATCCTCTTCCCTTAAGTGTTAAATATCCTCCTATTTCTTTCCAATCAAACTACCTGAAACACAGTCATCACAGCACACCTCTAGACTTCCCCCTTCTTCCTTCCCCAGAAGACACTTGTGTCTATTGCAAATACTTGCTGATGTTGGTGTTTCACTTTGTTTAGCTAACAATATGTTAAGAGGGGATGTTTAAGTTACAAAAATTAAAGCCTCAAGCAATTGTACTTTAACTTATGAAGGTATAAAGTTCATTCTAAAAATGCATTAAACTTCAGGGTGATTCTTCCGTTATTCTAGTTCAGGTATAATGGTAGCTTAAGATCTGAACCTCTCTTCCTTCAACAATCTATAAATAACACTTTGCATTCCAAAGCTTAGGAAAAAAAAAACCACTAATTCAGAGGGCCTAAACATGATAAATAGTCCATACAAAGACTAACAAAGTAGAATCATGCAACCACATTTAGAAGCAATCACGAGGGCCCATTTTTTTCATTGAAAAAAAAACACCTCAATTAATGAATAATAAAACAATCAGGATAATCCTTGCAGCCTAGGATTTAGCTCACAGATTTTGGGCCTCAACCCCAAATCCCTGTTTCTAAAAACCCTAAGCCACAAGCTTTGTCGACCCCACCCCGGATTCCAGCAACCCCACAAAGTCCCAGGGAAAAACCCAGTTCCTGATTCCAGCCCAAGTCCCTGAATTCGTTCGAGAAACCATACCAACCCAAGTCCCTCAATTTGTTCGAGAAACGTGCCAAAGTCACAGGGAATTCGATTCCTGGCCGAATTGCAACAGATCCATCATCGACAAGAAGAGAAAGAAAGTCTATGGTGGGTAGGTTTCAAATCTGGGTTATGCATGGGGGTTGGGGCAGTGTAATAGGGAAGGAGCCAAAAATTGTTTGAACAAATTTATTAGAGATAGATGAACCTAGAAAGAGGTGAGAAAACTGATAAAACTTTTGGAATTCATTATCCCAAGAAGAACCCAGAAAAAAAAATAAAATAAATAAATTTGTTGTTCTTATGGTACTTTTTGGGCATAGTCGGGCTTTGAATTGAGGTAAGGCCTAAGCCAATCCCTAATTAATTATTCATGTACAAGAAGAAGATGATGATGAATTGAAGCCAATATCTAATGGATTTGTACTGTGGCTGTGTTTCTGCTCTTTGTGAGGCTGTTCCAAATGTACTTGCCTGGTTTGGTGGTTGAAAACGCAAAGTCGGGATTTGATGAAAAATGTGGGATGGAGTTCTAAGCAGCAAAAACGCAAAACTGGGTGGATTTCATGGTTCAAATTGACGAGCTTTAATGAGCTTTCATACGCATACACTTTAATGAGCTCTCATTCTTCGTAATCGTGATGAATCCACCTCCAATTTGAGCAAAAACACGGAAACTGGACTCAAACTTCCAAGAAGCTCAGAGACTACAGAGTGGAAGATGGAGATGAAGAGAAAGATAGAGGTTGCTGGAGAAGAAGACGTGGATAAGATGTGGGCCCATATTTGCAAGCTGGAAATTTGCATCCACGTCACTAAAAATATGGACCTTATATTTGATGTGTCATCACTTAACGGTTAATTTATCAGATTATGTAACAGATGTATGCTATTGAAATGGAATGATAAGTAACGTATGAAACAGAAATGTTTTAAACATGTTGTATGAGGTTGTAATTGCACCCAAACTTGAAGGGATGACATGTAATTTACCCAAAGAATAAACATATTTTAATTGGAGAAGGGCACAAAAAATAATTTCACTCTAAGAATTAGTAGTGGGTTCCTCTCTTCAACTTGACTCTTGCAGGGTTTCTTTTTTATGAAAGGTATAGTTGTAACTCTGTAAGAGTGATTTTACTAATTAAGGCATGTATTATAATCAGTCTTCTTAAACTTCGTGTTCACAGTAATTACTATCTCTCAGAATTTTGAAGAAAAATTCCATATTCATAATAAGAGAGACACAGATGCATATAATATCTGAGACATACTTAAAACATAAAAAAGAAAAGAACACAAAGCTACCATGATGCAATATAATAGACAATAACAAGATACGAACCATGTTCAGATAATTCAATTGAGTGATGATACAGGTAACTGCAACCATTCCAAAAATCCATGTTTGGAAGTATTTTAGCTGGTTGGTGCCCTCTATTGTGAGTTCTATAGCAATCCCAATTGCTTTTACACTCATAACCTGCAATATGGAACAACTAATCAGATGAGAGAGCCAACGTTACTTTAAAAGTGATGTATGGTAAATTTTTGTGCACGATGAAAAAACAATATTGATGAAATCGTTATCTTAACAAAAAGGTGGCTATAGTGGTAGAATAACTCACTGTCAACGATCCTATTATAGAACAGATTCCTGTATAAATCAGTATATTGGTTTGGCCATAGCGGGGAGCACAAAACAACATCAGAACTAATGTTACAGCTACCACCGAGGCTGTATACAAAAGAAATGCTGAAGGCAAGAAAGAGAAACAATCAGAAGAGAAGAAAAAAGAAGAGGAAAATAAGCATCCATTAGTTATTAACCTTTTAGAGCGTACCAGGTTGTATTGCTAATTCCCAGATTTCTTCGACGGAACTGAGAGATTGCTCTTCAGGTGAATGGAGTACAATCACAGTCGAACCCACTATGCATAAAAGACACCCCAACATTCCCATTTTCTGAAGTTTCTCCTTCAACAAAAAATGCGCTAAAACAGCACTACACATATGCATCCACAGTTGAACTTGTCAGAAATATGGTTTGACGATTGAAATATACAAATATAGGTGTATTCAGATGTACTAAAATTGGGAAATGAAATGTACCTAACAATAATGCTCAATGCACCAAGCGGGGTGACCAGGCCAGCAGGTGCGTAAATGTATGCTACAAAATTGGCTATCTCTCCAACAACCACTGTAAATTGTCCAAAATTACGATGATCAACAACATGCAATATTCAACATCCAACCCCGTCTAGCAGCGGAAAAATGAATTGAAGATAGAAGGGGTCAAATTTTCCAACTCAAATGAAATAGTGGGAATAAAACTTAACCTCAATCTAAATGAAATTTCCAAAACCACAGCATAGCCCTAGAATTAATTAAATTAAGCAGAACCAGGAGCAAGGAAAGCTTACTTGTTACCATTCCTATCCACCATAGAGGTTCTAACAGATACCCATATCCTCCCACACCTTTCACACATTAACAACGAAAGCGAGAAAACAAGAAAAATTAACATCAAACAGAGTCATATCATCATAAATATACAAGGAAACTGTCTTGAGAGAAAAAAAATGAATGAACATACTGGCTCGAGGGCCGTTGACACTTGCCCGGCGGAGACCCTTCTTCTTGATGATGAAGCTGGAGCCAATGAAGGCGCTCGAGACGACGGCCAAGATGAAGCCTTTCAAATTGCTTGAGTACATTGGCTTGGTTATATATATTATTTTTAGGGATGGGAGGGGAGGAGGGGAGGGAAAGGGTAATAATTTGGAGCTATGAATTCAGAGAAGTATGGAGCGGAAGGAGTAGTAAAATTACCAAATGGGTGGGGTTGCGAGTGGAAGAGGGAGCGGGAGCCGGAGCGACACTCATTCTACATACAAGAATTCCCACAATTCCCACAATTCCCAATTACCAAAATCAAAACCCAAACCCTCGAATTTTCTTTCTTTTTATTCGACTCAGAAGAAGAACAATTGGGGAATTGGGGAATTGGGGAATTGAGAAACTGAGAAATTGAGAAATTGGGAATTGGATGATGGAATTGGTAGACTACTCCTACTCTCACCGTGTGTGTGGTTTGACTTTTGACCAGACCAGATGGATCTGATTTCTGCGAATCGGCTCTCTCAAATGCGAAGAAATGTGAAACGTGAAACAAGGGGAGAGATGGCGTGATTTCTCACCTGCCAGTCTGCAGCCCTACCTCCCGTACCTGAGCTTTGCTATTGGACTATGATTCTTTTTTTCCCTCGTTCTATTCCCTTATATCCCATTCTTTTATATTTTCTATTTTACCTTTCTCTTTTTATAAAACAAATTAGAATAAATTACAAAAAAACTAGTTTAACTATTAGGTCATTAACAGTTTCATATCTCGTCTTTACAAAATTTCAATGTCATACCTTATCTTCAAATTTTATTGCAATGTTATACCTTCCGTCAGTTATCTATCAGTTCCTCTGTTAAATACTGACGTGGCATAAGACGAGCCCACCTTTTATTAAAAAAATTAAGGATTCTTTAGATATAGACCCTTGAAACTCCTATTTTCCAAATAAAAACCCATCTAAATTTAAACATTCAAATAAAACCCAAATTTCAAATAGCCTACCATGTAGACAAATATATAACCAACTATTACAATACAATTACAACTTATGCCATAGAATCCTAATTTGGTCAATAAATGTTATTACTCATCCTAATTATGATGAGCAATTAAATCCATATGGATATTTTACCTTTCTTGTATCATAAATATTAGCAACATATATAAATTAATTTATCAAATTTAAAAGAGAAAGACAATCTTGTACGGAAAAAATAATATTGTTTGAATTATGTAATTACCTACATTCAAATTAACTTACCTACTTATAAAATATTATACTAATAAACCTGCATTTTGAATCATGTAATTACCTACATATAAATATTATACTAATTTACCAACATTTAAATTAATTTACCTACTTATAAAATATTATACTAATTTACCTACATTTAAATTAATTTACCTACTTATTAATATTATACTAATTTACCTACTTATTAATATTATACTAATTTACCTACATTTAAATTAATTTATCTATTCCAAAAAAAAAAATTAGTGATATTAGATAATGTTCGAATGTTGTGGGTTTGTGCTTGTAGGCAATTAAATAAACTTTTAATCTAATGCACATAAATCATGTAGGTAAATTAGACCATTTTGAAAGTAAACTAGACCCTTTAAATTTTGGTTTGATGTAATAGGTAAATTAGACTATTTTGTAGGTAAGAATTGTGCGGAACAGATAGCTTTTGTTTTGTGTATTAGGGATTGGAATATTAGCCGAAGCTGTTTTAGGTTTATTGTTGTGTTGGTAGGTAAATTAACTTATATATGTAATGCACAAAATTATGAAATTAGTATTATTATTTTTCAATTGGCACGTTATAACAATTTGAAAGTTAATACATTGAATATACAATGAATGGCATGAATTATTTTGTAAAATATATAAAATTAATTAAATGGATATAACAAGTAACTGATCCAAAAACCTCATCCAAGTATTAATAGGGGTAGTTTAGGCATTCGAAAAATACACAATTTGAAAAGTCAAACTTAATTTAAGAATTTGTTTAATTGAAGGCTAGTCAATGGGTTTTATTCAAGAAAACAAAAGGAGATGGGTTTTAGTAGAGGAAAATATAGTTTCAAGGGGTAATATCAAATTTTCAGAAAAATTAATAAAATATTATTAAAAACTAAAAAAATATTAATTAAATATTAAAAAAATAAAATAAAATAAAAATTAAACTAAACCCAGATCCCATCACCCACCCCCCGAAACCCCATCCCCTTTCATTATCTTCCCCATCCATCCCCTCACCCCCCCCCCCCCAACGTCATCTTCCCTATCCATGGTCCCTCCCTGCACCCATCCTCCACCTCCTCCGCGCACCCACTTCCCATCTTCTCCCCCCCCCCCCAATAATCCAAGCCCAACTTGCAACCCAGAAAAAAAAATAAAATAAAAAATAAAAAAATAAAACCCATATTCATCCCCCCTTTCCCTGCAACCCAGATCCCGTCTTCTCCAATAGGTGTGGATTTAAGGAGTGGAGTGTGTAGAGGAAGGAAGAGGGTGGGTGCGTTTTTCTTTTTTTTTTCCTTCTTCTTCTTCTAGGTTACAGGTTTTTGGGGGGGGGGGGGACGAAAAGGGTTTGCTTCGTTTTTTTTTATTTTTTTATTATTAATTTTTTTTTGGTTCTTCTTCTTCTTCTGGGTTGCAGGGGGTGGGGGGAGGGACGAACTGGGCTTGTTTTTTTTTTTTTTCCTCTTCTTCTTCTTATTTTTCTTCTTTTGGGTTGCAGGTTGGGTGGGGGGAGGGGGGACAAACTGGGTTTGCTGACCTTCAAGGCAAAGATGTTGACTTTTATTGACCACCTTGTCATGTCATGTAAGATCCATTTTCTTGGCGTACTCTTGTAGTTCTCGTCGCTACGGACTCGTGAGCGCAAACGGAATACAATTTAGAGTTATAACGAATGAGATATTAACGTTTAAAGTCGAGGACATTTTAGTAAATTGATTAATTTCAAGAAAGCTCCAAATTTTTGGAGAAAAACCTGGAAAGCCACGTGTGTGGCCCATATTAAAAGGAAGAAAAGATGGTGAAGGGAAAATATGAGATCTATGTGGGATTTCTATTGACTAGCATGCATATACAATTCAAGATTTATATACGAAAACAACGGAAGCATGTCATCAATTAATATCAAAGCTCTAGTCATGAAAATCCCCTTCAAGATTCATAGGTTTATTTATGATGCATCAAAAACAATTTATTGAAGAACAAAGTTTAGGAGTAGTTTTATAGGATGGACCACCTCCAAGCTCTTTGCTCCTTGAACTCCTTGAGCCTAGCCTCCCTCCTTGCCTCCTCCACTTTGTTCTAAATGAGTGCTCCTAGGTCCTCTTCAAGTTTCCAAAATTGAAAACCTCTAAAGATCCTCACCCACTAGTGTAGTGAGAAGGATGAAGGAATAACCAAAAGGGTGATAAAATGATTAGCTAAAATCCCCTTATGGTGGCCGGCCCTTTGAGTGTTAGAGAGAGTTATTTTCTTCTCTTTTGTTGTTTTGAACACCAAAAAAAAAAAAACCCCCATTTTAAACTTTCATTATAAAGTTCCTTTTATAACATAAAGAAACAAGTCAACAATTGACCTTCTCTCTCCCTCTCTTTGGCCGGCCTTTTTAGTGTTGTTTGGGCCTTGGGCTTTTATTATTTTAAGTCATCCAATGCTTGAATAAAAGCCCAATGGGTTTAGGCCCAATGGGCCTAATTAAACCCGAACATTTCTTTAAGCCCAAAACGATCTTTTATCGCTTTTATGATTTCTTTAGACTTTCTAAATTAATCACAACACTTAATTAATCCAATTAATTATTTCCATCATCCATTAGTTACTCACTACAAGAGTGTATTGGTGAACAATCTTTTAGGTTCTAATTAGCAAGGCAGTGAGGTGATTGGCACCAATCCAATTGATTATATTTAATCCATCCACTTAGTGAATTAAAACTTACTTTTAATTCACCTTCTTCTTTGATGACTACATTTAATCATCTAGAAGAACTCACAAGCCATGAGTGACATCTAAACATATATCATGGCTACCCAAGCTAATGTAGAAGTTCATTCGGAGAACCTATTCAGTTGGAATTACAATGTAATTCGATCCTTCTCTAAAACAATACTCTCAATCACATCACTAGGGTATGGATATACTATGTCAAACCCCTAATGTGATTATGCTTTCTTATATGATTCAATTGAGTCGCATAGGAACGTTTTCCTTTATTACGCTCGAGACTTCGGCCGAAGATTCCCGAATCATATCTCAGAGTATTCTTCCTCTCATAACGAGGATCAGAGATTCCTTGTTGATCATTCACATGCCTACATGTTTAGATACCTTAACCCCAACAATGTCGTGGACACTCCAATGGAATGTCGTTTGACATGATCAAAGATCAAGGACCTAACCATTAGACATTTATGATGTCTCAGGTCAAAGGATTACTTACATTATTCCAACCTTCAGAGTTACTTGCTTGACATGTGAGTAGACCTCCATGCAAGTACTCTCGTTCGATTGTGTTCAGTGAACTCATTCCCTTAATGAGCACCTACATACTTGTCTTAGTGTCACTACACGAATGGGATGAGACTTTCCATCCTTCCATTTGAAGCAGACATAGTATGTACCGGTCTATGCATTGTCAGTATCCCTCCGACAATCCTATGATCAGGAACCTTTTTGGACATAATGGTTATGAGAAGAAGGTCTCTGTAGTCTAATCATCATTAGATTACTTCTTCCATCAATCCATTGTCCATGGATTCATCATTTAGGACATATTTCTTTCATTGAGATAGTCCTAATTAGTATCTTTGCCTTCCGATGTATAAGAGTCATATATACATCATTACATTGTCCTGAAAGGTTTCTTCCAAAGATTGACTTTCAGGGCATATTTCCAACTGATGGGAGGTGGAGATGATAGATATAGGAGAGAAAGGAAGGGCGGGATGCTCATTCAGAAAGAAGAGAAAGAGGGAGTGACCAATAAGGAAGAAAGGAAAGGAGGGAAAAGAGGGAAGGGAGGAGGAGAGAACCGACCAAACCCGATTTCTCCACCCAACCTGCCAACTTGACCCGCTTATATCTCCTTCGTACGAACTTTGTTTTGGGTGATCTTGGTGTCCATGGAAAGCCCTTGACGAGCCCTACATCTCTGTAGTGTTAGATTTCTCAATTTCTTTCCCATTTTCTAGTTCAAAGCCACAAAGCCCACAACCTTTTCGGTGGCGTTAATCTTTTTTCAATGGCTTCGGCGAGCTTCACCATCAATGACCACCACCAAAAGACTCCTCT